CGTGGAAGGGCAGCAAGAAGTTTATGGGGGAGGCGAAGGTCAATGGGGTTGAATGTAGGGGCTGGCGGGACACAGGCTCTGACATCACACTAGGTAAGGGGCACCTGGTGAGACCGGAGGACATAGAACCTGGGAAAAGTGTACCGATAATGGCTTTGTCTGAGTACTCGGTGAGCCTGCCCGTGACTAAGGTCCACCTCAAGTGGGGGAAATTTAGGGGGCAGGTGATGGTGGCTGCCGGTTCTTGATTCTTTGGATGTCTTGGTGGGGAACGACATAGTGGATGTGCATAGCCAGGTTAACGTGGTGACCAGGTCACAGAAGGAATATGGGGGCACAGCAGACACCCTGGTGGGTAGCAGGGGGGAAGGTAAGCAGGCCCAGGGTGTGTCCCAAGCGGAGGACAACGAGTGGTTGTCCGAAGGGGCGGATGTAGCTCTGGTGCTGAGTGACACGCAGCAGGAGTTCGTTAAGGCCCAGCAGAGTGATGAGTCCCTGGAGAGAGCCAGGAGGGATGCACAGAACCAGGCCCCTGCTACTGAGGAGAGGGGCAGGTTTCTCATACAAGAGGGGCTTCTACACAGGGAGCCCCTCCCGGGGAAGAAGGGGTCCCAGGCAGCGACTCGCAGGCAGCTGGTGGTGCCTGAGGCGTATCATGAGGAATTGTTGAGGTTGGCCCATGACGGTCCATTCGCAGGGCATCTGGATGTGGGCAAGACGTGTGACAGGCACATGTTCAGTTCGAACTAGGGTGGTTAATGTAGTCATACGAACTTGCAAATGAAGCCCGGGATTTGAATTTCCCGGGCTTCATTTGCATGTTGTCGGGCGCCGCCATTTTTAAATGTCCGCTAGTGCGGACTCCGTGCCCATGGCTAAACGCGGCACGGACTAGATAGTTCGGACTAGGCTTCCTATTCCGAACTATCTGTATGCCTCGTTCGAACTAGGGTGGTAGTGTAGACATACCCTGAGGGAGTATTGCCAAAGCTGTGAATTGTGCCAGAAGCAGAAGAGATCCAGGGGGCCCCGCAAGGCGCCCCTGCAGCCTCTGCCCATAATTAGGGAGGCCTTTGCCCGAGTGTCAGTAGATATTGTGGGCCCGCTCCTGAGGCCCTCCAGGAATGGGAAGAAGTACATCCTGGTAGTGATAGACTTTGCTACAAGGTACCCGGAGGCCGTGGCTCTGTCCAACATGGAGGCAGAGACGGTGGCGACAGCCTTGTTCACTGTATTCAGCAGGGTGGGCTTCCCCAAGGAAATCCTGTCTGACTGTGGGTCGAATTTCATGTCCGTGGTGTTCAGGCAGTTGTGGGAATTGTGTGGGGTCAAGCACCTGAAGGCTGCCCCCTACCACCCGCAGACGAACAGGCTAGTAGAGAGGTTCAACGGGACTCTGAAGTCCATGCTGAAGATGTATGTGGACCGGCGCCAGAACGACTGGGATGTGCTGCTGCTGTATCTGTTGTATGCCTACAGGAGTGTGGCCCAGGACTCCACGGGGTTTGCTCCCTTCGAGCTGCTCTATAGGAGACAGGTCCGGGGGCCTCTGGACTTGATTCAGGATGCCTGGGAGAGCAATATCAAAGTGGCAGGGCAGCCAGTGACTGAGTATGTGACTCAGTTCAAGGACAGGCTGAAGGAGATGATGGGAATAGTTCAGGAGAATTTGAGTGACAGCCCAGAGGGCCTGGTATGACAGGGATGCCGTGGAGAGGGCATTCGAGATAGGGGACTTGGTGTTGGTGCTGGACCTGGTGAGGAGGAATAAGATGCAGAACCTTTGGAACGGGCCCTATGAGGTAGTGGAGAGGGTGAATGAAGTGACCTATGATGTGAGGAAGGCCGGTGGACGGGGCGGGGTGCAGAGGGTGCACGTGAACAGGATGAAGGCGTACCTGGAAAGGAAGGTGAACATGACCATGATCTGTTGCGCTATGGAGGAGGCCATGTCAGGGTATGTCTACACTACCCCGCTAGTTCGAGCGGGGTAATGTATGCATACCGAACTTGCTAATGAAGCCCGGGATTTGAATTTCCCGGGCTTCATTATCATCCACAGACGAATGGGCTAGTAGAGAGGTTCAATGGGACTCTGAAGTCCATGCTGAAGATGTATGTGGACAGGCGCCAGAACGACTGGGATGTGCTGCTGCCTTACCTGTTATATGCCTACAGGAGTGTGGCCCAGGACTCCACGGGGTTTGCTCCCTTCGAGCTGCTCTATGGGAGGCAGGTCCGGGGGCCCCTGGACTTGATCCGGGATGCCTGGGAAGGCAATGTAGAAGTGGCAGGACAGCCAGCGATGGAGTCTGTGACACAGTTCAAGGACAGGCTGAAGGAAATGATGGAGTTAGTTCGGGAGAACTTGAGTGACAGCCAAGGGGCCCAGAAGGCCTGGTATGACAGAGATGCCGTGGAGAGGGCATTCGAAATAGGGGACTTGGTGTTGGTGCTGGACCCGGTGAGGAGGAATAAGATGCAGGATGTTTGGAGCGGGCCCTATGAGGTAGTGGAGAGGGTGAACGAAGTGACCTATGACGTGAGGAAGGCCAGTGGCCGGGGTGGTTGAGTGACAGCCAAGGGGCCCAGAAGGCCTGGTATGACAGAGATGCCGTGGAGAGGGCATTCGAAATAGGGGACTTGGTGTTGGTGCTGGACCCGGTGAGGAGGAATAAGATGCAGGATGTTTGGAGCGGGCCCTATGAGGTAGTGGAGAGGGTGAACGAAGTGACCTATGACGTGAGGAAGGCCAGTGGCCGGGGTGGGGTGCAAACGGTGCACGTGAACAGGATGAAGGCGTACATGGAGAGGGGGGTGAATGTGAACATGATCTGTTGTGCTGAGGAGGAAGCCATGTCCATCCCTTTGGTGGATATGGTGGCTGAGGGTCAGGAAGAGACGCCCCTCGAGAGCACAGAGATGGGGGAGGGCTTGACTTCCCTGCAGAGGGAGCAGTTGCTGGCGCTGCTAAGAAGGAACTGGGGAGGGGGGCTGGGACTCCCCCCATCTCAAGGGGGCACTGAAGCCTCTTAGCCCCAGTTCCTGTAACCAGATTACATCTGTGCTGTGCTGTATCCTGGAGGAGCAATAAACCACCTCTATTCTACTGGCTGGCGAAGTCTGTTTGTGCCATTTCGGGGTGCAGGAGACGGGGGACCCCCAACGTGCCGTCACAACAGGATGTCACATTCAATCCACACAACGGGGCCCCGCCTGGCACCCAGCAGAGTCTATAGGGCCAAGGGGGAGATGCAGAGGCAGATTCAGGAGGAGGTGGAGAGCATGCTGGCCATGGGTGTAATCACCAGATCCCGGAGCCCCTGGGCATCCCCTACTGTGATGGTACCTAAAAAGGACAGGACCATGAGGTTTTGCGTAGACTACAGGAAGTTAAATGCTATCACGCAGCCTGACCCCTTCCCCACCCCCAGGATAGAGGATCTGTTAGATACACTGGGGGGGGCAAGGTTTATAAGTACTCTGGACCTGACTAGGGGGTACTGGCAGATCCCCCTGGATGCGGATGCGCAGGAGAAATCTGCATTCATAGTGGAGTCTGGCCTGTATGAGTTCAAGGTGCTGCCCTTCAGCATGCGGAATTCTGGGGCCACCTTCATGCGGCTGATCCACGCGGTCCTGCAAGGGCTGGGGGGTTTCGCCATGGCCTATATTGACGACCTGGCCATTTTCAGTGACTCCTGGCGGGACCACCTCAATCACGTGGGGGCAGTGCTGCGGCGACTCGGGGAGGCCAACCTGACTGTCAAGGTGTCCAAATGCAGGATGGGGGCTGCCGAAGTGACCTATCTGGGGCACAGGGTCGGCAGTGGGGCGGTGCGCCCCGAGCCCCTGAAGGTGGAGGCCATTAAGAATTGGCCGGTTCCCCAAACAAGGAAGCAGGTCCAGGTGTTTGTGGGCCTGGCCAACTACTACAGGAGGTTTGTGAGGGGTTCAGTGAGGTCGTAGGTCTGATCACGGACCTCACTAAGGAGAGGCCGGACCGGGTGGTGTGGTCAGAGGCCCGTGTGACATAGTGGGGGTACTTGCTGGGCTGTGGTGACGTAGTGGGGGTACTTGCTGGGCTGTGGTGACCTCTGCTGTCTGGAGCAAGACCCAGCAGGGAAAACCTCACTATGCAAAGGTGACTCAAAAACCTGTCTGACCTGCGGCCCCCCATGGGGAGGAACAAAGGGAGGTGGATGCTGCCCTGGCTGTGGGCAGGGCTGGAAGAGGGGGAGTTAGTTCCTGGCTGGAAGGCAGG